CTCAGCTAATCCTATATAATAAAAGCCTACTATGCAAATTGTCCCCTCAGGTGGTCGTTTGACCTGGAGTTCAACCGCTCCTAGGACGTGCGCTGACCACCAGGAGGCGACTACCTGGGGGAGGAGGTGATGGGGACAAAGGTGCAGGGAGAATGTGGGGTATCCACTAAGTTCGCTCTCACTCCCCCTATTACCCTCCCCCATGTGGCCACTTCCTGGAGAGCTGGGCCACAGCTGCTGGGACCATAGGGGCTGGTCGGGCTCCCTGTGGATTCGCGCAAGAGCCAGTCTGCGAGGCCGGCCGGGAGAGAGCATGCTGCCTGCCCGCTTCCCTGTGGTGCCCCTAGGCAGCCTGGAGGCCCACACTGCGTCCAGCTCATCTCCATGTGGGGACTCAGGCGCTGTGACTCAGGCGCAGGGGCCCAAGGGCCCAGGTGCTGCCCAGGGCCCAGAGGTCAGCTGGGACCTGCCTTTCCACACCAGATACTCGCGTTGCGGTCGCCGGCCAGGCCTAGGGACCACACCCGTGCGCGAATTTCCTGCACCGGCCTCTAGTAGTCTAAATAAAGGAAGAGGAAGAATTTCACAGGTGCTTGCTTTGTCTCAAAGTAGAAAATGACAGTGAAAATTAGCACAGAACATGTATGAAATAAATTTAGAAAGCATTTTCTTAAAAATACAGATTGGATGAGCACATGACTAATCAGCTCTCTGAGAGGAGAACTCTAAGTCTGTTTCAACAATATTCACAGGCATACCCTTCTGGCCCTGCATGCTGCTAGTGTCTGCTGAGGAGGGTGGGCTGGGCTGCCAGTGCAGCCTTCTGTAACTCTGTGTACATGAAAAAGCACTCCCCACCCTCACACTTAGAGCTAAATGAAGTGGGGAAAGGGGACAGTAAGGCATGCTGGGAAAACTCAAAAGTGCCACTAGTTCAGTAAGATCCAACACCAAGTATTTATATAAATGCTGGTAATACTTCATCTAAAAACAGAGAAAGGAACATTTTTATATGCTAAAATGCCTGTTGTCTATACAAAACCCCTGAAACAGCTGAACTTTTCTCTATTTTTCTTTTTTAAAAATATATTTTTATTGATTTCAGAGAGGAAAGGAGAGGGAGAGAGAAATAGAAACATCAATGATGAGAGAGAATCACTGATCAACTGCCTCCTGCACCCCCCCCCCCCCCCCCCTCACTGGGGATCGAGCCCAAAACCCGGGCATGTGCCCTGACTGGGAATCAAACTGTGACTTCTGGTTCATAGGTTGATGCTCAACCACTGAACCACACCAGCCGGCTGAACTTTTCAGAGCACATTAACACAGACCCGGGTTTTATCCTGCATATTATGTATAAACAGCACAGTTGGATGTGCTTCAGCTAGCTATTTTTATTTCATTCCTATCTTTACACTCTAGATAAATTTCAGGCCAAAAGAATGATTGCATTGTAGTGACTATTTTTGTTGAACAAAAATTCTGTTAATAAATACTATCCCCACAAATACTAGAAAATTCCATACTCAAAAGACCACCTGCAGAGCATAAAGCTCATATATTTAAGCCAGATAGAATTAGACTTTATTCTATTTATATGGCAAACGAGTATTCTGCTCCTATTGCATCAGTTTATCTTAATGTATAGAGAGTACACAATTCAGTGAAACAATTGTTAGAAACTCCAAACACCAACACGTTTTGCAATGTCATACAAATTTTGGCCTTGGTATTTATTTTTTGTTGTTGCTGTTAATCCTCACCTGAGGATATTTTTCCATTGATTTGTAGGGAGGGAGAAAGTGAGAGGAAAGACAGAGAGAAACATCGATGTGAGAGAAACACATCAACTGGCTGCCTCCTGCACGAGCCCTGACCAGGGCCCAGTCCGGGGAGGAGTCTGCAACCAAGGTACATGCCCCTGACCGGAATGCAACCCGGGACCCTTTGGTCTGCAGGCTGACACTGTATCCATGAATCAAACCGGCTAAGGCTGACCTTCGTATTAAAGGAAAATGAAACTTGTTCCACAAATATTGTTTTAAAAAATTGTCCCTAATGACCTTAAGTCTAGAATATTGCATCCAATTCAAGAAAAACTATGGTTCTACAGGCAGTAAATGAAGGTTTTCATGTAAAAGGAGCCATGCTGAACCCAGTCATGGTGAATGAAGTAGGTTTGTCTGGAGATGGCTGCTAACTTAAGCTCACATAGCTGGTTTTTCTACAGTCAGACACAACGTGCCTAACTTGGGAGAGAATCAGGGCACTGAAACTGCAAAGGCAACACTTTGGTCCTGACACTAGGCTCACTGTTATCGTAAGGCAAGATCCAGTTTATGGCAGACCTTGTCATTCGTTCTAGCTGTGATTCACCTGAATGGTCCACACTTTAGAGATTCCCAGGTACAAATGGAAATGGCGCCCAGGGCAGGGCTGGGATGAAGGGCAGAATCAAGTGGATGAGCGCCCAACCAGCCCCTTCCATCTCTCAGCAAGCCTACATAAGAAATGCATAAAAATTTCAGCGATATTGTAGTATACTGTATGGAAGAAATTATAGTCCCAGGTAGACTTTATGAATCTGTTGATTCACGAAGGACTCAGGAAGTATTCCTGATGAATGTCCCAAGTCTATTCTATGCTGGATATTCCTGAAATAGCAGCAAAAGAGTTCCTCAACTATTACCTTCTATTTATGACTTGAAGTTAAAACTTTAAAAAAATAAGTATTGTATTAATAAAAATTAGGAATGATGGGATAGGAAATCGAACTCTTTAATTTTTACAAAAGGATATCCATCTGAATTGTCACATACTTCACAATAAAGAAGAGCCAAATAACCTGGATATCCTGGAAATGTAGGGCTGGAATTTTCCAAGTCACCCAATCCTCCATCATAAGACCTTTAATCTGAGTCAAGTCTAAAGACTACCTGAAACTAAGAAGCCTGAGAGGGATGAAGTGGAGGTTAAATTCCCCCCCCCCCCCAAAAAAAAAAAACCACTGGCAGCCTCACTTCTGCCACGTCATCCGTACATCAGAGTCACAGCCTTTCATGGTGAGCACCCCGAGACTGCTTTCCTCTGGGTGGAGTGAAGGTGAAAGGCAGACACAAGTGCACGAAGACATAACCTCCAGAACTCAAAGGGCTCCCTCTGGAAAATAATGGAAGTGAGGCATCGTCCAGCACTATAAGCTGCTCTATCACAGGACGATCAGTAGCTACAAAAAATATTTCCACTTTTGGAAGTCAGTATGTTCAGCAACAATCTTTAGTGTCTGTGGCAGAAATTAAACTCAACGTGGAATTGAAATATGTTCTGCTATTGTATTACATGGAATCTTGTGTAAAGAAAATAATACACACAAAAAAACAATTTCACGTGTAAAAGCCTGATGATTGTTCTGGAGAGAAAGAAAATAGCATCCTTCTCTAAACAATGGTTTCCTAGGTTCATCTTTCAAAATTCGGGCCAAATCATGGATTCCAGTGCACACATACCTCCTAGAGAGCCAACTGCGGAATGTGCAGAACAAAGAATTTATTCAGAGATCTCCTGGATGTTTTTCCTCCTCAAAAATAATGAAAAGTGAGGAGTCCAGATGGGAATGCAGCCACTCTGGGAGAGGACTCTTTTGAGATAAATAACAAGGCTCTGTAAATAAATCTCCAGGATTAAATGAGGAATTCTGAAAAGACAACTAATTTTAGTTTGTCTGATTTTTACTAAATTATTTATACATAGTGTTCTAGTATTTCTGAAGTAGCGAAGGGACAATGTTTTATGCTAAAGCTCAAAAGACAGTAGACTAAGTTAAAAGACATCATAGTGTGATTTTTGAAACTTACAGCTTTCTGTTCTGAATTTGAAGCAATGACGGCTCAGCATCACTAGGACCCCTTTCCTGGCCACCCTGTTCTTGTGGAACCTGGTTCCTGCTGCTCAGATGAGCCAGGGACCATGTTGGCTCCCACAGGGCCCTTCCTTCTGCCTGGCGCAGCGCCAGGAGCACAGCCTTCTCCCACTGAGGGTTTCTGATCCCTCCCTAGCTGATCTCTGAGATGAGCTCAAGACAAGCAGAAGTGATGGGGAAAGGGCAGTGGGCGGACAGAAAGAAGTTGGCTGCTTCTAGCAGATGATGAGCAGGTAACTGAATGAAAACTGCCCTTTTCAGGAGCTCAGATAAGTAGGACTAACAAATTTTATAGTGCAATTTACAACTTTATAGCCACTTTTTATTTACATTTTAAAAGTACTTAATCCGGTTTAATTTTTGGCCTAGATTCTATTTCAAAGCACTGCATTTTACAATGAATTCCAGACAAAAGTGCTGGGGCCTTGTTAAGAGCCAACTGGTTATGATTTGTGAGGGAATCTACAGTGAGCTGTTTAACAACAAATCTTGGATTCTCACTTTCTGGGGTCCCTCGATCCCTCTTCTTTTTGCTTATTTTACTCAGGACTGAGTTTTAACACATCCACTGTTCTCCCCCCCCCACCCCCCTACCCCCCCCGACTTACAGAGCAGTGGGAAATATGTTTGTGCTGTACTGGCTGTTTTTGTTTCTCACAATTATTAGCACAGTGAGAGATACTCAACCAAAAACCTTCATTCTGTTGCTACTGAATCACTTATCCCCAAAGACTGTCCGAGATGATGTCACAGTCAACGTCATCTCAAAGCGTCTGCTGAGTTCCAAGCCACATGGCTACTAGGTGTACAAGAATGATTTCTGTTGACCCCACAGGGAAATGAAAGAGCAGAGCACAAACACATTACACGGAGCCGAGTGCAATGCGGGGTATAGATCCTCGTTTACCCCACGGCTTTGGAATGCTACCACCACGCTTTGAAAGCTGCTGGTGCATGCATCTCAGTTTTGATTCTTGATTTCTAGTAAAATATGGGAAGAGCTAAAAGCTAGTGCTTATGGGTCTGGTGCTATTTCAATCAGGGGCAGAGATCGGGAGCCAGCCTGCGAAGGCACACTCACCGCCGCTCCAGGGGGCGCCCGTCACTGGAGATGCTGCGTGGAATGTTGGCGGCTCTCTCGGGAGGAGGCATCTTCCCGTCTCCTTTCCCTGCATTCAGCCTCGAGGTCATGGGGCTCTGCACCTGGGCTGGGACTTGAGGACCGTGAGGCCCCTTGCTGGCGTTCCTCTGCCACTTGTTGTTGTTTCGGAAGGGAAACTTGAACTCGTATGAAACCCCCTCGTTCATTTTGTACTCCATCACTGGCATGCGGTAGGTTTCCGAGCAACTCCTACAGCAGGGAGGGCACAGAGAGAAGAAAAACTAATATTATTTTTCCTCGTTGGTGCAACCACACTGATTCTCATTAACAGCTAAAATGGATCAAACACTTCATTAATCACTGGGCCCTATAATTAGTTTCCTTCCGAAAACCAGAACCGCAGAAGTCTTACACTTCTCCTTTGCCCAACCCCCACTCTTGAGTCTGAGGTGTGGAGTCCTTGAAAATCAGAGCGCCAAGATCACCTCGTGGGGGTGAGGGGAGGGTCTGTACTGAGACCTGAGGAGGGAAGGCAGCGTGACTGGCAGCGTGACCGGCAGGGGGACAAGCCCTAAGATGGGGGAAGCAAGCAGTCAGCTTCACACACTCCTCACGGCACTTTACATCCGGGTTCTACTGGGATGTAGTTTTGAATGTTAGGATCCTGATAGTAAAAAAATTAAGTGGGGAGAAATCTTGAAATCCAAATTGAGAGTCGAATTTAGCTCAGAAAAAGAAAGAAAAAGGCAATTATAGAAATTCTGCAATTATCAGATTACCAGGGAACGAAGCATAATTTCAAATCAGGCTTTCTTTTTTCCCCAAAAGTCAGAAATTTCATATAGCAGGGCTGTCCCCCAGTAGGGAAATTAATGGCAGGCACAAATGTCTTCTGTTGCTTTAGCCCAGTGGTCGGCAAACTGTGGCTCGCGAGCCACATGCGGCTCTTTGGCCCCTTGAGTGTGGCTCTTCCACAAAATACCGACTTCTGTGCATGGGCCACGAAGTTTCACACTGTACGTGCGCGCCTGCACGTGGCATTTTGTGGAAGAGCCACACTCAAGGGGCCAAAGAGCCGCATGTGGCTCGCGAGCGGCAGTTTGCCAACCACGGCTTTAGCCCATTTTTGTGCCACCATCCCAACTCCCACATCTTAGAAAATGTGGAACCCACTTTCCATTCCCTTTACTCCAAACCAGGAAGAATCAAACATTAACTGAAAAAAGCCTATTCCTACCAAAACACTAAATCAAACTGTGCATCTGAATTTCATCATTAAGTGAAAAAATTTACTTTCTTTCTTACAGGAATGTCAAAGACTGAGAAGCAGGTGGGTGGATCTAGAGAGGGGGTTAGGGTGATCATGAGAGGCACTTCAGAGGTAACCTATGGAGAGTCCAAGCCAATGCTGTCCCAGAGAAATAAAATGCGAGCCACAAGTACAAGCCACTTATGTAATTTAAAAATGTTTAGTACATTAAAAAAAGGAAATAAAATAAGTAAAAGTATTTTAATTTAACCCGTATGTCCAAAATGCTACAATTTCAACATATAATCAATAAACCCATATTAAAAACTATTAATGAGGCTTTTACATTCTTCTAAATTTGGTGTCTTTTACATTCACAGCACATCTCACTTGGGACTAACCACGTTCCAAGGGCTCTGTGGCGGGTGATTCGTGGCTCCTGTGTGGGATAGAGCAGGTCCGAAGGGCACCCAGCTGAGGCCTGGCCTTGATTTGGGGAAGGGCTCATGTTGGTGTAAGAATAAGCACAATGGAAGGTGACTTCCTTTCACGATCTTGTCCATGTATCTCACACATGCCCCCAAGTATACCCCCACCCCCCCTTGGCTCCCCCCCACCATCTCCGTGATAGCACTGCCTCCTGAAAGTGCTGCTTTCAGAGCATGTGTGTTTGCTGGGTTCTTGCCCTCCCCAGTCTTAGCCCAAGCCTCCAATGGGCACCTTTCCTTGGAGCTTCCTTACCACTCCCCCTGACTCCCCGGAGCCTAGGTCAACCGTCTGCCTAAGGCTTCACAGTAGCCCTTTTATGCCTTAATGACAATGGCTTTCAAATTTTTGGACCACAATCCCAGTAAGAAATACCTTTTACACTGTGATACAGCATATACACCAATACACACTCATACACACTCTTCCTCCGACAGCCTCCATCGCTCCACTCTGTGTTATTCCATTTCATTAAAAAAATACATCAGGTGTGACCTCTTAAATCGATTCATGATCTACTTGAGAGTTATGATCTGCAGTTGGTAAAACATTGCTTTAGAGAACATCTGACATTACCTTTAGCAGTTAATAACTTATGCAATAAACCCTTTTCTCTGATGAGGAAATATCACCTTAGGCTTTGATATAAACTCCAGCTTTAAGGCTGAGATTTCTTGCCGGGAGCCGGTCCATCCTTGCTGTTTCAAAGGACCTGGCATATATGGCATACTGTTCTTAATATGTTTGCTCACCTTCTTGGCACTATGTGTTTTAACCAAGGTCTCTGAGAAAGGTTGTTTCCCCAGGTAGGGATTTTCCCCTGAAGTTAGGGAGGGAATAAAACCTCCTAACTAAGTGCCAGGCGGGTAATTAATCACTTTAACTATGAACAATCATGCTTAAGCTACATAATCTTTATTCCCTGGAATGGAGATAAGAAACGCCCTAACCTTTGTAATAGAGATTGATAGGATTGGAATCAACTGGTATAAATACAGATGTAACAAGACAGCAACAGACAGAACTTAGAACACAGAACTTAGAACACAGAACTTAGATTGAGAGAACATGGCAAAAGATCCTGGACTGAACCTGACTACAGAAATTGGCAAAAGAACATGACTAGAACCTGGTGACTGAACCTGGCTGGAGAACCTGGACAGAACCTGGCTGGAGAACCTAGCGAGGGAACATGGCTACAGAACCTGGCTGGAGAACCTGGAGAACCTAGCAAGAGAACATGGACACAGAACCTGGCTGGAGATCCTAACCAGAACTTCGCTAGAGATCCTGGCTAGGCTACTGATCAACTGAACGCTGTCTCCGTGTCATTCCTTCTTCGCCGACTCAGTCTACGCCTTTGGGGACCCCCTGGACCCACTGGGGTTGGACCCCGGCAATTTCTGACATAAATATTCCACTGTAACTTTTTTTTTTGGCTGTTCATAGAGGCATCTATGCTAAATATGGCATCTGATGTAGTATCTAGTGCTCTGGGTCTGCAAATATAATGCAATAATGTAGCTTATCAAAAGAATATTAATAACATTTATGGTAACCCATGGAAAATGTCTTTCCATTTCCCCATCAGAACCAGCTTAGCTTCTCCTCAGCAGTGGTCCATTTTAACATGCAAACTCCGTGGATCTATCACCTCTGCCCTTTCTGTTGGCTGCTAGGAATCGCCACATGTACAGAACTCTCGCATCATGTATTGTGGACACTAATTTTTCAAAAATTTCCTCCTAGGCCACACTTTTCCTTTATTCCCCCCCTCCTCTGTGCTCTCCATGCACACAGAGATGCCCTCACTGAGTTTTAACTTTGTGATACTCTATATTCTACATGTACCTTCATTAGCTGCTTCAAGTCCGCACTGCATCAAGTAGAGATTAATAATAATGACACAGAAACAGCAATAAAAACAGACAAGTTGCTTTCATTTTGGGGGTCTTAGTTTCTTTGTAAAATGAAGTTTTGAAATTGATAGTCCCTAAACTTTCTTCTAGCTCAAACACTCTTTGAAACAGTCTTTGAAGCTGCATAACATTTAATACTAAATCTGGTTAAAAGAACCCATTAGCCAAAGATTTTCTCTTCTCTATCGTCTTCATTTCCATCACTCTTAACAGACAGCTAGAAACCTGCATACCCTACAATTATGGGATGTGGTCTGACAAGGCCTAAGCAGGGAGTAGGGATTCATTCATAGAGAATGGAAGACAAAGCTTCCAGGAGCTACACCCAGCCATTCTGCCATTTCTACTGCCTCCCAAGGCAACTACCCACTCACTTCCCATCACTCATTGCCCTCTGTAAAATACCAGAACGATACAGAGGTGAATCCAGAGGTGAGCAGTACACTGAAGAACAAAGGTGACAGCTGGCTTCTAACGACACGCATGAACGTTCTAAAAGGACTTGCAATTATATCATCCCAAGTGAAATCTGGTGATGAACAACTCTACCACTCGGAGCTCACAACAGACGGCACTCACAAGCCCCACAACTCTCCGCAATGCGTACATCATTACCCAGTCATCAGATGAGAGAGCAAAGGCCTGGGGAGGCTAATTCGCCCACGACCACAAAGCCAGAGGTGGCAGAACCAGGACTGGAACTCACAGAATTAATCTACTTTTGGGTAGTCTTAGGTCAGTCACTAACGAAAGGACACCTCTACTCCAAATCCCCAAATTTCTTCACCTTACAGTGTCCATCGCATCTCACTCAGGGCAGAGCCGATGACAAAATGGAAAACTGGGCACGTTTTAAAGACCTGTGGTCAACAGAAATTACAAATTCAGTGCTAAACGTGACGCACAGTGACATGCTGAAACCCTAGGTCAACTGAAACACCACTCTATCTCCTTACTTGCTTTTCCAGTTTGTTTGTTTCCTTTCACTTCTTGTTACCCATTATTCTCTCCTTTTTCTGTAGGACACTAAGAAATGCAGATAGAAACACAGTTGAGCAGAATATTGAACAAATCATCGTGAGACTGGACTCCTGAGTCAGGAAAGTTAGGTGTCTGAGGGCAGCGAGGTCCCTGAGTGTGCGACTTTGGCTTAGGAAAAACACTTAACCTCATCTGAAAACAGAGATGTGAACCAGAGCACCTAACAGCTGCCCTTCTAGCTTCTGCATTTTTAAAAACTTTGTGACCCATTTGTATTTATAAGGTAATTTGGTCCCTTTATGTAACTTGTTGGTTTTTCTCTCTTTCTCTTAATTGCTTTCTTTAAAAACTGCAGGTGACTGGCTCCCCACCGCATAAGGGCTCCCCACTCCCAGGCATCACCACCAGAACATCAGTTTAAGCTGCTCTCTGGGCATTTTCCATCTTGCCAAGAGAAGGCTGTTGAAGATTCAGAGGTGACAGATTCAGAGGTGAAGACAGATCAACACTGGTCACGAGCTGGTGGACGGGTGAGGGCCCTCCTGCAGTGCAGCTTGCTCAGGGCGCTGCCTTCCAGGGAAGCCCACAGGGAAGCACCAAACCTGCTCCGGTATCAGCCGGTGGGCCGGCTCCTGGGCAGGCTCAGAACCTTTCCAAACCTTGTTCTCCTCGTTGTTTTAATGGAGGTAGGGTTGGTGGGAAGATTCTTGAAAAAGCCCGGTACACAGGAGGGGCTCAGACAGTTTGCTTTACTTTCCCTACCTCTTCTTTTCCTTAATTAATGACTCTCCCATGTGAACATATATGGGTGTTTGTAATTATGGACAATCACCCCGCCACCCAGTGACCCTGAAAAGGGGGTGGAGTGGGGGCAGCGTGCCTGGAGGGGAGGCCTGTTCTGCCTCTTGCTGGAGCTGCAGTAACAACTGACAGAGAAGAAGAGAGTGACTAGTCAAAGAAGAGAGTCATTAGTCGCTGGGAAAACAGCAGTGGGAGTGTGAAGTGCGGAGGAGAAGGAGAAAAATGACAGAAGAGAATTATCTTATTTTGCTAAAAATCATAGCAAGGTGTTACTGCTTCAACTGCTCCTTTGAAGTTGGTCTAAGGGAGGGTGGGGCGAGCAGGGCTTGCAGTCCTGCAAAGATATCGACGGCACCACGTCTCACCTGCTCCGAGGGCCTGACAGGGGCATTTTGGGTGGAAACTGTAGTGAAAGGAGCAGAGTAAGTCTGGGGCCCGTGGGCTGTGCAGTACGTGCACCCTCCACCCAGCCTCCCTCCCACCCCACACCCTGACGCCCTCGGTCATGTAACCACCAGAGCTCCCTGGCTAGGAGAGGATGAGCTAGTGACTGAGAAGCAGTGTTGGGACAGATACGGCTCATTCATTCAGGGGTGGGTGGGAGCTGCCTGTCCTGGTTTGCAAGTGTGAACTGTGAGCCTGTATCCCAACTCTGTGTTCAGCGGGGTCAAGCTAGTAGCTTGAAATTGGCCGCTGTGGGAGTATTTATACCACAGGAATCAGCAAATGTTCCAAATCAAGGCTCTTTCCCCCACAGAAAGCCAGGTCACCAACAAATCCCTGCTTATACTGGTGTGTGAGGAAAGGTTTGTACCCCGAGCATACAAAGTAGCAGTTAAGAGCTTGGATTCTCATGCAAAACTTAATGATGACCTTAAGAAGTTACTAACCTTTCTGAGTTTTTGTTTCCTTTAAATAGAAAAAAAATTAATGGTAGTTACCTCACAAGGTTGTTATAAAGACTAAATGCACTAATCCATATGAAAGTGCTTTTCCAGGACCTGGCATATTAAATACTCAGCCAACATTGTTTTTACCAACACACCACAGAAGACACTGCTAGCCTGGTATGTCAGAGTACATAAGCCACCTCCTATCATGGACCCATCTTTCTAGTCACTATCCACAACCCATGCCAGCAATGTTCCCACTTCATCCTGTGTCCTCACGCACCCGTTTCCCTCTCCTGCCCCCAATACAAACTGGGGACTAGAAACAGGGGGAAAGATCTCTGAGCAAACAAGGTGGCATCGAGAGACCTACAGGCTTCCTTTTGAGGAGATTGGTCCTCAGACCAGCAGTGATAGCTGTACCGTGTGTAATTAAGGTGGACAAGTCACAAAGCTTGGTTATCTTCTCCAGTTTATGGCTGCCTGCTCAGAGATAATAAAGTAGGCAATCTAGAGGAGAGATCAAGGGACAGAAGACAAACAGCCAAGGGGAGGAGCCCAGAGCAGCTGGAGAGCTTGCAGGACCCTCACTGCCTTTCTGATGCACCCCAAGAGCCGCCTCGAGTCTCAGTTCAACAGAATGCTGACCCTCAATGCTGATGTGCTTGAAGAAGCCAGAGAAGACCTGGCTCACTCAAAGGCAGGATACGTGTGCAAGGCAGTTTCAGAATATTTACCCCCCTCCCCCCAAAATAAATAGCTGAAATAAAAAGGTCTGGATATATATTTTGGTTTCTAGAGAAATCTAATCATCCAAAATGGAGCATTTCTTTCTTTTTTAAAAAATGTTTTGATTCTTTTTTTTTTTTTTTTTTTTTTTTTAGAGAGGAAGGGAAGGGATGGAGAGATAGAAACAGTGATGAGAGAGAAACATCGATCAGCTGCCCCCTGCATGCTCCCTACTGAGGATTGAGCCTATAACCCAGGCATGTGCACTGAGCAGGAATCGAACTGGTGACCTCTTGGTTCATAGGCCAATGTTCAATCACTGAGCCACACCAGCCGGGCAAAATGGAGCATTCCTTAAAGCGGTCAAAGGGATTTCACCATATTTTCACAGAGGTGCATACTCTCTAGACCAGCGGTCGCCAACCTTTTGGATCTCATGGACCACCAGTGGTCCGCGGACCATCAGTTGGTGATTGCTGCTCCAGACCATCCAGGAGGGAAGCAGTATTAAGAAATACTACCACAGTCTGGCCTGCAATGTTTGGTTTGAAGAACTGAAGTACATTTAGGTTGTCATTGCTGCCTATTTTTAAAGACATCAATGACCCATCATAACTGTTCATATAATTTACCACCTGATGTTCATGCATCTGTGAGAGTGCAGGTGCAGACCACATTTTGGGGTGGAGGAGAGATCGATAAAGAATGTATATTAAGAGAAACTCTTAGAAAATAATGGGTTCAAAGCAAATTAACAGATTAAAAAAAAAAAAAACTAGCAAAAATAGCATGTGTGTGCCCAAAGGAGAAAAGTAACAGTTGATTAAATTTGTTCCATCAAGAAACCTCCCCAGAGACAGAGAGATTGAATTTTCACCAGCGCTGCTGGCTTGGCAGGAGCTGGGAGGGCGGGAGCTCCCGGGCTTCCCTTTGGGGAAAGGCTGGAACCAACTGCCAAAGAACCGACAGCAGGATCGGCTCATCTGCAGCCAATTCCTGACACACGGATGCAGTTAAGAAAAAGCCTGGTCAGTCACGTTCAGCCCTCCAGGCTGAGATAGCCGGGTCGAAACAGCACTTTGGAGTTTTGGACGGCAACTGGGTACAAATGAGAGATTCCTAAGAATGAGTGTCACGCAACATAAAAGGAAAAAGCCTGACAGCTTGCGATGCTGCGCGCCTTCTACTGTGAAGTGTGCACTGGTTCTCAGCTACTGGTGCAAGATGTTTGAGATGCTATTACCAGACTTCTCTATCTGGAACAGCAACTTCATAAATTGAGAGATGTAAATCCTGGGAACGGTCCAAGTGAGTCATTCTTTCCAGCTGCTGCTGCCACATGCCGAAAGGGAGCTGTCCTGAATCAGACTTGCTGTGGATGGAACATGCAGCGTCGCATGTAACCTAGTGCTCCCACAGCACCCTACTCCCCTACCCAGGAGACCTTCCACACGGCACACAGACCCAGCCCCGGACCCTCAGGCTCAGCTGTCCAGGCAGACCTACCTCCGTGGGGTGCAGTCATCATGCGGGGGGATAATGACGACCTTCACCGTGACGGACGTCCTCAGGAGATCGATCATCTGCTCGTGGCTCAGAGTGGCCACCGCCACCTTGCAGATCTCCACCAGCCGGCTGCCTTGCCTCAGCCCTGCCTGCCAGGCGTAGCCGTAGGGCTCCACGTCCGCCACGATGCCCTCATAGTTGACATGGAAGCCAAGCTGCCCTAGCCCATTCCTTCGCAGAGTCATCTCCACGGACTCACAGCCTTTTGACACAAACTAAACAAGGAAATAAAAGACAGCCTGGTTTAATGAAACGGGATTAAGTGTGGACAGGAACTGGTAGTGCATTGCAAACAGGGTCACTTCTGAATACTCTGCTGCCAGCTGAAGAGCAGTCTGGTTGTTTCCCCTTCACTGGTCTCCATTCATTAGGCCAAAAGGAACGTATTTGTTGCATCCAAAGAACTCAATAGCTTCACCGAAGTGACAAGGAAACCTCTAACAGAGACCCACAGGGAGCTGGCAGCCAAGAGAAACCATATTCTGCTACTTATTTTGTCCTTAAAAACATTCAAGGCAGCAGATATCCAATCAAACAATTCTTTCAACAATGAACGCAGATTGGCTGGGCTACATCATTGGTCACCAAGGCGGTGGGATCACAACATGGTTTCCAACACACACAGTAAGTGTGTCTTCCCCTGTCCTACTACTTTTCTTTCTGAAAAATGATGGAGAATGACTGTCAGGTAAACTTGGTGTGGCTTCACATTGTCAAGGGGGGTTTGCAGAGGAGCTGATAAAAGCATGAGCCTCAGTGACTTGGCTCTGGTCTGTCCTGGAAGTTTTGTCAAAGGGAAACTGCACGTGGGTTATGGGAGGAAAGACTCACCTGCAGCCTTCTGACAATCTCCTTGATATCCTCATTGTTAGTGAAACTCTCTACCGAGACACATTCTCCTCGCTCATAGAAGATTTTGAGGCTGGTGTCAGTTGAAGTCCACCCTATCACGTCTCTGCAGGAGCAGTTGAAAACCACGCTCTTTGTTTCCTGTTCGATGAGGACGATGAACTCATTGGAGACCCCGAGAAGGCAGTCTATTTCCATAGCGTTGGTGTAGTCCTTAGCGCGGATGGCCCACACAATGGCCCCCATGCTGCTCAGCTCAGCTCCTGGGTACGGCTTAGACTTTTCCTTCTTCTTGGAGGCCAGAGAGATGAACGGGAATTTGCCAGAGGGGTCAATAGAGGTATTGGTGACATTCTTTTCGGCCAGATCCTTCAGGTATTCCTGGCGCGTCCGAGTCGCCATGGCCCGGAACTTTTCTGATTTGTGAGCAGCGTTTTCTGCATTTATCACTTTGGCCAGAAGGAAGTCCCTGAACACATTTGACTTAGGGAAAGTGACCCCTTTGGGGATGGGAGGTCCAAAGGAAGGCACATCTCTGGACCTGGTGACGGCCACACTAAGAGAAAAAAAGCAAAGATCAAAGAGAAAAAGGCTGGTCAACACTTTGCAGTCTCAAAGCATGAGAATAAAATACATTTTCTCTAAGACAAAGATGTCCCTCGAAAGGAAAATAACTGTCACTGTTCCCCAAGAAATAACACACATTTCTGCTTACCATGAGCACACTTTTTCTTTCATTCAACCACATTTAGAATTTATAGAACACATTTTTTTCCAGGCTATAAAACCTCCCCAAAACTTAAAGTAAAAATATTCTTTTCATTAACAAATGGTAAACCAAATATAACTCCATAAAAAAAAAATTTACTGACTATTCTTCATAAAAGACAGTATTTTAAATATCTGCTGATTCTTTCCCAGGGGAGTTAGTATAATCACATGACCATTCAGAACAAGTACAGATTCTGTAAGAACATTAGTGCGGTTTCCATTTTAGATATGACGCTCCTAAGCGAATAGCTAATCATGAAAATACCAAAAGATGCATGACGTAAGAGAGATGTATTAAAATTTCTTTTTAACTAAACAAACATTACTTGTTGGCCTATGCGTCAGGCATTATGCCACCAAATCAAAAGCATAATTTAAAAATGAAAATTGACATTTGAGTAAGGTATTAAAAAGATTTTGATCTTTAGAGTTATAATAGTAACAATGCTTTAAAGTCTTATTTTTAAACTGAGCTATTCTTTAGTCCACATTCTCTACTTTTGGTGTTTGACAATTTGTTTGTGAGGAGACTGTTTCCCTTTTCTTATTCCTTTAAGCAAAATTGATCAAAGAAAGCCTGTTTGACACTTCTCCTGTACATTGCTAAAATGGGCCTAAGCACCATACGAGAATCTATAATAACCTATTATTTTTTTATTTCAAAAGGGAAAACACATTTCCTAAAACAACAAGAACAACAGGAATTAAATAAAAACAAAGAGGCTGCGTGTTTTATATCATGTCCCAAGGTCTCATCCAAGGCCTCAGCAAAGTTTGAGAGGGCTAGAAATGATGATCCTAGCAGAGCAAACACCCCTCTTTTCAAATTACCTATTTAAAGTGAGTTAATTATGCAATTGTAAAGCAATAGAAAATCTGTTTCTTCTGAAGCCCCAGAATGGAAAGATTAGAGAGCATGCATCTTTCAAATTAAATTGAAGAGCTCTGCTTCATTATTTTATCTTTTTATATATACTTATATATTTGGCTTTTTTAAAATTATTATTTCATTTCTGGTAACTCTCAACTGAAATATTTTTTTCCACTGATTTTGGGAGAGAGTAGAAAGGAGGGAGGAATGGGAAGGGAAAAAGAGAAAGAGACACATCTATTGTCTCCCGCACACGCCCATGCAAGGCTGGAGATTGAACCTGCAACCCAGGTACACTCCCTTGACCAGGAATCGAACCTGGGACCCTTTGGTGCATGGGCTGATGCTCTAACCACTGAACGCACCAGCCAGAGCATGGCTTTGCTTTTCAAAAACAGATTGCTTCTTGTCAAAATAGGGTAAGTTGAAAACAGCAACTTCAGGACACAATATATCTATCCTGTCAGAAAATGCCACCAAATGGACTGTTTGTTGCTTTTCAGAAATTTATTATTATTTTTTAAAGACTATCCAGTTCACTTCATGACAAAGAAAGTAGCAAGCAACACTCCATTTTCTAACTGGAGAAGAGAATTTGAAGAAACATCCATATGTAGTATAGTCTAATTATGCAAGTATTAGAGAGGCAATTTTTCTTGTCTACTGTGAACTCTCTGGCTTGAATACTGACAGCTGTATAATTTAAATTTGATCACGCTATATATTTTTTAAGTCAAGCAAAAGATGCTAAAATCCAGATCTGCTGGCTTTTCTAAGAGGAATCCTGTGAGGATCCAGAAATATTTAACATCTTTCATTTTTAAATTGGCAATTTCTTTTCTGGCTAATTTCACTTCAAATCATTATTTTTTTCTCGAGAAGCAACTGTGATTTTATTTTAAATAAGGAGAGGAAAATGCTTAGGAGGGGGTGTGAATGTGAACACCATCTATCATCCACTTAACCCTTGCACTCACTGGCTTCCTACAGATCTATTTATTAACTGATAGAACTTGAGAAAAACAGACGGAAAACCCACCAACAATTAAAAGCCTCTATGAGAAAAAGAACTGAATCCTTAACCTATAATTATCACTGATTCACCGTGGTAGGGAGGTAAATGATACAGACACTAAAGTCAGTTTTGTATCATTAGAAATAGAATCTTTACTGACGAAGATGAGGAAGATGATACCCTAACATGCTCTTTTCAAATAAAGGGTTCTGTTTTGGGTAAATCTAACTTTTCTGCAAGGTTAAGAGGTCATTAAGTTAAGTACCACAAATTCTGAACTCTTGATAATAAGGCTGCCTAAAGCTAAGTAGGAAGAATATTTTGCCTCTTAAGAAGTCTTTCCAGAATTTCAGTTTGCTGTATACAGACACTTAAAATGTATTAATTATAAATGGTTCTTGCTATTTTTAAATAGCAGATTCCAAAGGGCTTCTGCTTGGTGTTCTCACATTTGCCTTGTATGCAATACTGTATCTCCTTAGGATACATTCTTTAGAATTATAGCCATGCCTTATTTACTCAGAATTGTGCAGGACTAGGATGTTCTACTCAAGAGGGTTATCTGGAGGACAGACAGACAGAAGTTCAGAGGCTGAACAGTTATGAAAAGTGAACACTGGATGGAAAGAAAACTTGGAGTATTCAATGTTCCTCAAACTCTGCCAATACAATCTTGAGTTTCATCTTGGTTTTACATTCTACTCAAGAATATGTTCCCTTTTACACAAAATATGTTCTGTCTCCAAAATCTTGGAACACGCCTGCGGGGCCAGGAAGGTGCTCTGTGTCTTACTCGGTCATTTGTCATATCCTTGAACCTGCGTTTGAACAGCTGGTATGGATTCTTCCCTTCTCCAGGAAACAGACCGGAGAAGTGAAATGATTGCCCAGAGCTTGTTCGGGAGAGCAGGACTGGAATCTGAGCTTCTGGACAGCTGAAAGCCTGCTCTATGACAAGACCACACTTATTTCCCCTCAAAGAACATTTTAAACTTCCCAGTCTTGAGGTACTTGCAAAAGGGACCATCCATAAGAGTCACATGGCAGAGAGACCACCCAAAGGCTGTTTATAGTGGGTCTGGACCTTGTAACATTTGCTGACATCAAAGACCTTGGAAAAAGTAGCACTACTTGATACCCAGAGCCAATTTCAAGTTGGGACTGTTATAGACACATCTGAACGGAAGCCTCAATGGAAAAAAGTGAGAATAAGACACCTGGACTTTTGAAACACCATGGGAACAGCAGTAAATTTCTAGCCCAAAATTTAAAAGGAAGGGGATTTAGCATTAAAACAGAGGGAGTTTCCCCTTCTTGGAGCTTGGATCAGATTTCCGGCTGGTGAGCTTCCTAGAAAGAGAAAGCAGAGCTGGGCAAAGGACAGGAAAGACCGTGGAAAAGCAAATGTGTGCCCATCATTCGCTCCCTGGGGCTTTGGATTTCCCATAGCATTCACTAGCCAGCACTCGTTGAACACCCACTATACACTGGGCACCGGGCTGATGTTGAGGATCCAGGATGAGAGGGCGTAGGCTCAGCCCTCCAGAAGCTCCAAGTCTGGTAGGCGCTACATCCAGTGGTTTGCATGCTCCCCTGGGAGTTGTGGGGTGTACTGGAAACACTAGCAAAGGCACTGTTGCTAGACCTGGGAGGTAAGGGGAGCCCTCCAGAGAAAAGAAAGCAGGAATTCATCAGATGAAGGAGGGGCAGGGGTGTGTGCGAGGAGAGACATTCCTGCCCAGAGAGGAACATGTGCAGAGGAGGGGCAGAGTACAGTATGTTCTGGGAGCTGTAAGTAGCTCCACATGTCTCAAGAATGAAACGGGGGTGAGCAGGGGACTGGTGGAGGTGCCAGCGGAGGCTGAGCGACAGGAGAGGCCAGATCCGCAGGACTCGAGCTGTAGGCTGGGCTGGGCACTCTGAACTTTTCCCTAAATGGTTTAGGTCATGCACGAAGAGCGACATACTCAGATCTGTGTCTTAGAAAGTGCAGCTACACTGGACAATAGGAATGCTAATTAATTATGGCTTGGAATAGACTTTCTGAAAGACATTTCCACCACTTGATCCACTTTGATTTTTCCTGCTAGCTGAAGCTTGCATGTTTATTTTTACTCAAGAGAAGAAAAGGAAAGGGGCATTTCATGTGCGTGTACCACACTCCCCGCCTACGTGAGACACTTCACTTATGGGATTTAACTAGATGTCAAGCACCCTTCCATGCACAGGAAGGGAAATTTAAGATCTGAGAGGCTGAACAATCTGGTCTGATTCCAAGTGCTTTTTGAGCTACATCACACTCACTCCTTTCAACATGTATTACATTTTAACCACTGGATATGGAGATCTTTCTGAGAGGAGAAACAGATTTCTACCTTCCTAAATATAGTTACTTACCATAAATTAACATTTATTTCAAAGACTCAGGATCACTTTTATTATGAACACATTACTATACTAGTTCTGAAGTGAATAATTCTTTAATTTCATAAAAAGTGGGTCAATGTTCCAATTTTCAATTGTTTAAGACATTCTAAGATTTATTAATAGTCTTTTTTTTCTCAATTGATCCAAATAAGGCCCACACATTGCAATTAATTAATTTCATCTTAAAATTTTTTTTTTCTGTTTATTCCCCTCCACTTCTCTCATTTTCTGTTTTCCCTGCAATTTACTTATTATAGAAATTAGGCCAAGACCGGTTTGGCTCAGTGGATAGAGCGTCGGCCTGCGGACTGAAGGGTCCCAGGTTCGATTCCGGTCAAGGGCATGTACCTTGGTTGCGGGCACATCCCCAGTGGGAGATGTGCAGGAGGCGGCTGATTGATGTTTCTCTCTCATCAATGTTTCTGACTCTCTATCTCTCTCTCTTCCTCTCTGTAAAAAATCAATAAAATATATAAAAAAAAAAAAAAAAAGAAATTAGGCTGTTTATCACAAAAAGTTGTCCAGAGTCTGGATTATGCTGAAACAAGAACCCTCTGTCTTTTGTATTTCCTGTAGTTGGCTTCTCTAGAGGTTTGGTTGGATTCAGATTCAATTTGGGGGGGGGGGGGGGGGTAGGACTAATTCATTCATGGGGTTGTGTTCTCCCCTTATGCGACACATATTTATCTCTTTTGGTGATATTTGCAGCAGCCTTTCATAATTAATGCCTAGATCCATTAATTCCCTAGTTGTTAAATAAATGTTTTTCACTGTTTTTGCAAACTGAGGCCCCTCAGGGTGAGTGAAATATATTTGGTTTTTCCCAAATCAAGTGACCCTAATCTGCAATGCTTATTGAATTTGTATTTTTGATGTGAATAGTTTCCTGCATCTCTCTTATCAGTAATCACTTATTGATATTTCAATACATCCTGGGCACTAAATAGCTCCTTTATCTTCTTGATTTGTTGCTTCTAATCTGCTCCATCAACTGGATCAGAAAATTACACTCATTATCATAATATAAATAAAATAATAGAGACCAGGGGGCTCTTTTATCAGGTATGGCACAAGCTTTAGTACACAGACGCAGTCATTAATTTCTTAGTTCCTAGCTGTCTACTACTCAAGGGCAACTGGCTCTGGGATTAGTTTGAGTTAGTCAGTTTTTCCAATGTAAACTTTCCAGAGAGAGAGAACGCTCCGACCAGGGCCTCATTCCCTTATCTCCGATGAGGATTTTTCTCTCTTGGTTCCCTTGTTACATCCCAGGGTCTAGAACAGCACCTAGCACATAGATGACAAGGGCTGTCAAGAACTGGTGACAAATAAATGAACAACAACAAGCTCCAAATTTGTCTTTTTGAGATTATCTTGTATGTTACATTAGCTACATTTTCCTAAGACTCTGTTTACAGTGTTCAGTGTTACCTGATGGCCTACCATTCTGAGGGCCTCCACTGGCTAGTAAGCTTTCCTACAGCAGTAGCCTTCTCACTGTATTTTCCACCTTCCTGTGACTGCACTCCAGTGTATACTGCACTCCTGGCAGCACTTCTTTTCCCCATTGAATTCCATCCATCTGTGCTTTGAAATACACATTAAATCTCATTTTCTCATTAAATGCTCCTTGTAACTTCAGCCTATACTGAGCCCACATTCTTCTACACAATTACAGCAAGAAGCTCCTTTGAAGAAACCACTCTTAAACTTACCACAGTACAGACAGCGAGTGACATCAGTGAATAATGAGAGTACTCACAGGGGAGAAAGTTGGGAACAAGAGCTTTTAAATGATAAAAAGCAGTCCGATTACTCTACATCATGGAGTGATAATTACATAAATTTAAATAATTAAATAAGATGTAATAACTATTAGTATAAGTAACATTAAAAAAAATTAGCATAAGTCAATGTATTGCCGTACTTTTCAACCAAAGTACTCCTAATGCAAGAGGCCTATCATATCCCTAGGAGTTTGGGAAGAGGCTGGGGTATGAGAAAAACTCACAGGTATAAAAATTCTTTGAAGACCCACATTTTATCTTAAAATTGATAAAAATTTCTATGCTACTTCAGAATACTTTTCATGAGAAAAATAAACCCCTTCACACCCATTTTGCTAAGCATTAAAGGCCACATTAGAAGTGCCCTGTTTATTCTGGGCTTTGAAACCTCTCCTGACCTCACCACGTACCACAGGAAACATGACTATCTTGGCTGGAGAAGGAATGAGAAAAGTTAATGCACCTCAAGTTTACAATAGGAAAAGATCACATTTTAGTTTCTTGTAATTTCCTTCAATGATGTTACAAACTGATGTGTTGGCTTGGATTTACAAAAGGGCAAAAGTCAGTTTATAAGCAATGAATTGGACCTTCAAACAACCTTGGCCACTAGGAAATTTCCAGACTAACCCACCCCATGTGACCAGCAGGGGTGTGCAGTGTCCTGCAAAGGATCCCAGCCTCACATGCGGGTTAAGATCCAGGCGACAAACTAAAAATAAGAAAAAGTCAGCAAAAATCATGATCTTCAGGTTGGAGGTGGGGTGCTGGCTTGAAAAGAATCAAACAGGTGTGTCACCTCCTCACCTAGCCAACTGTTGTAGAAGGTGAAGACACCTTCCTGCCTCCTCAGTCTGTGTAGACTTGCACGTGTGGCTACTGAGCTACCCAGATGGCCAGTGTGACCAAGGAGTATTACATTATATTAAATTCCAAAAACTGACCCTCAATTCACCTATTTGAAAGCTTGCATCTTTAGAAAAATCTGAGTATGTGAGTCTACTTTTCCAACTGCAAGTTCTATGAAATCTAAAAGCAGATTATTTCCAATGAAAAGCATCTTGAAATAAGCAATACGTCTAAAATGTAGCCTAGATTTCCAAATCTAAGTCCACAAACGCTTTGTCTAAATAAAATGCTTTCCCATTGAAATATAGGGCAAGCCACATATTAATTTTATATGTGTAATAGCCTTGTTTTTTAAAGTAACAAGATATAGAAAATGCATGCTGTGTACTGGGTTCATGCAAAGGATTTCATGCTTTGAAAGCAAAATCCTTGTGAATGGTCACTAGGAAGTCTGGGGAGTGGGAACCTTGATAGTTTCTTTTAAGAACCATTCACAAGCATTGAGCTTTCAAAGTAATATGAAATCCTTTGCATGAACCCAGTACTCAGCATGCTTCGAGGGAGTGGGGTATTTTCTAAATGCAAGTACCCATCCCATTATCAATGCCCTATGCTTACTCTTACTCCACACCTAACTGAAGCAGCTTTCAGAGGCCAAGTCCTTGAGAAGAGGCTTCAGATCCAGGTCTTCTGTGTTTGCATTTCCACCCTGAGCCTAGGAAACCAAGACCTCCCTGGTCTTGGGTTTTCACTCAGGGCTGGCGTCTGGAATAGCTGTCATGTCACTAGCAGGGCAGCAAAGACCCTGCTTCACATGGATGGGAGTGAGGCATTGAGCCTGGGCTCGGGAACCAGACGCAGTGTGTGAACCTCGGCTCTGCCCAGGACCAGCAGACCCCAGGCAAGCTCTCCCTCTCTGGGCACTTAAGTTTCCTCATCTGAAAGTGGGGATGAAAACAGTACCGACCTCAGGTTTTTTAAATGAAGGAATACATGTAAAGTGCCTTGACTAGGACGGGGCTTATAATAAGAATGCAAACACGCAGTTACTGTGGAATGTGCAAGGATGGTGGCAGCCAGCATTAGTCCAGAGTAACCTTTACTTGTTTTGTTCCCTGAACTTGCCAGCTCTACACCTATAATTAACTTGCATCATACCTGGAGTTAGAGAGTTGTGGATCTCACCACAATCCAACTCCCAGTCTGTGTTGCTACTTCCTGCATAGGTGGCTATATTAATTAAAAAATAAATATCCAAAATAAACAAAGCCTCGTCTTCCAAATTTTAGGGATTAAGATATAATAAAATTTCATATTTTGAAAGTATAGATTCACATTAGTTACATCATACTGAAGCTGGAATATCCTTTCACACCTTCTTGGCACTATGCCTCCATCAACCCAGCATCTTATCCTCATCACCAACCCCCTCCTGTATTCTCGCCACGGCCTCTGTGGGCAGATGCCTGAATTCTGAGACTCGTAAACCTGGGTCTGTGAGGGACACTGAAACAATTCCACTAAATGCGTGACCAAGCCTGGAAATGTCTCTAAGGTTGCAGCTGGAAATGTTAGAGTGAATCAGTCCTAAGCAAGGGTTTGGGCTTTTTAAATATTTAGTAATTAAAAAAACAAACAAAACAACCTTCTCTACTAACTATGATCATTCTTCTCTGCTCTTGCCAGACCAAAAGCAAAATATAATTAGCAGTATGAGTAATTAGTTGGGGACCAGATGGCATGGATGAAGGATACCACCTAAGGAGGAAGTGCAAATGGAAACGGCAGGTGTCTAACCAAACACGTCTGGGAAATGTCAATGCCATCAGGTTACGTCATCGTGTGAATTAAACCATCCACTGGCACAGTTTAAAGGCAAAAATAAATAGTAAGAGAGTCCCCACTGCCCCTTCAGAAAGCGGAGCTGGAGGGGCCTTGTGTGTGACCCAGCCAATGCCCACCAAGCCACTGCACAGCATCAATACCTGTAGCAGACACTGTCCGTGCAGGGGTTGTGAACCCTGACGATGACGAAAACGTGCTGAAAGTGGGAGCGGATGTTTTTTGGGCTGAATGGCTGTGCTCCAGGCTCTTGGAAAACAATTGTTACAATATCATTTCCAATGTGCCGCTTCCGTAGGAGCTAAAAGAAAAAATAAGCAAACAACCTAAATGACCGCGCTTGGCTTCTACCGCCTCAGTTCCCTTACGCAAGAGCATTTAAAACATTCATTATGAATCAGTACATGTTAGGGTAGGTAATGCACACAGTTATTGTCAATATTTTTAGCCTGTGTCTTATCATTCCCTACAAGGAAGACTGTGAAAATGAATATTCTGTAATTTGCATTATATACATATATATATATGCGCAATATGTATATGTATGTATATATACATACATATACATATACATATACATATACATATACATATACATATACATATGTATATGTATATATATATATCTATCCCATTCAAATAGATCTATCTAATATCTGGCATATTATGTCAAGTCCCAGCATCTCTAAATCCTTAGTTTCCATAACAACAGTTTTGTTCTATTTTCATATAAGAAAGGAAGTTGCCGTAGAGAGCATTTTTTTTTAGAGATGAGAATGGCTGAAGTAATTACAACATAATTTATGTTCTGGTTTAATTAGCTTCATTTACAGAAACGTGGCTAAGGTGTTTTCAGATACACTTTTGGTATCACAAGCTGGGAATGTGGAAATTAATAATATTCCAGAATGATACAAGAATTTAAAAGCAAGTTAAATTTCAAGTTAAATAGCTTCTTTAATTATAGTGAAAGGTACTTCAGACCACCTTCTGTTTCACATTACATGTGTTTTGGAAAGGTGGCTTTCAAATTCAGGTACCTGGATCATCCTAGGCCAGTGCCTTTTCAAGAGGGGTTTATTAGAACATTTAAATCAATAGTGTGAAGAAAAACTAAACACATTTTGTATTTCCCATATTTATTATATTGAGGCTTTTGTAAGAAGAAAAATAAGACATTTATGTAAACTATCCACCATTATTTATTTATTTTGTTAATCTTCACCCAAGAATATTTTTCCATTGATTTTTAGAGAGAGTGGAAGGGAGGAGGAGACACAGAGAGAGAAAAAAACATTGGGGCTAAACTATCCATCATTAGGCACAAGCTTGCACTTACAAAACTTTAAAAACAATTCTCCAGTGACTTTAACTTACATAGACTATATACCAGTAAAATCATTGATTTAGTATTGGCTGCCAGCTGGGAGAAACAATAGCCTTTTAGATTAGGGTTGAGAATTGGAAGTTAGAATGCTCAGGCAATGTACTTTTAACCTTAGGAATTTCAAAGCATCCCAAATTATCTTCTAATAAGGCCATTTACTTCATTTCTGAACATGATATATTATCAGATGTTACAGAAATAAAGGCTGGTCTGTGTTGATTGTCATACAGAATATACCCATTATTAAAGATGATTAATCTACTCAGGATCACAGACATACCAAAAATACAATCAGTATATTATGTTATTTCTACATACATGATGTCATTGTCTTTTGATACATTCTTTCTTTAAAATATGGCTTGATATATAATATTAACATATAATATTAATAAAGGGCCCAAGCAGAAATAAATCTATGTCACATTAAATATAGTGAAAGTATTTATAAACAAATTACTGCAAGAAGATTTAAAAAGATAAACTTTGGTTTTTTTTCCTCAAGCATAAAGTAATCTGTATAGAAGAAATAAATTGTTTAGCTAGAAAACTAAAATTTCTTAATATGTAATAATACCAATTAATCTTTCATTCTGATTGGTACATAATACACTTGCTTTGATTGGACTCTAAAATTAAATAATTTAGATAGTTGTCCATTTAAATGTTTTTGTCTACTGACTAGTCAAAATAAGATTAGTATATTTTTCTTAGCATGTTTTCCTCTCAGAGAAATCTAGAACTGGAATTTGCATAAATCAAACTGTCAACAAACTCCAGATCAGGGAATTTATCTTAAAATTGGTTTATTTCAGAGTCAGAACTGATTTATTGCTTTGCTTCCTATTTTTGATTACTTTAGTAATCATAAGAGCAAAACTTTATTCCCCACATTTGTGATTTAATCAAAGCTAAAGTGATGAAGTGTTAGATTAGATCTGTGTTTGGGTAAATTCTATGAAAGAGGATGTGATTCATTCTGCAGCAGGCCTGTGCTCTGTTAGTACAACTGGCAATAACAAAATCCATACGCGTTTTAAGGTCAGAAGTAACACTGGACTGCTTGTGTTTATAATAGCTATTGAAAGGAGAGTAGATCTGGTTTTTTCAAATTTTAGTTTGGTATCATTTATTTTGAAATATTTTTTAACAACAACTACTACTACTATATACTCTAAAACAATACTGCCAGTTTCCATTTTGCTCTGAAACAACCTGTCACTCATTAGCACTGTGGTTTCTCAGTGGCTACATTTTAGCAATAGGCATTGTTTAGATGTTTTAAAAAAGAAACTGTGTATGATATACACAAACGTAATTGCTATTTATGTTCCTCGCTATCTAACAAACATGTTAAGAAAAAAAACATTCTTCTGAGAGCCCATTGACACTTGTTGTACTTTTTCTACTTGTTAGAATACCAAACCTCCTTTGCAATAGGAAATGAAACACCAATACTTTCCTGCTTTGTACATTGGCCTCTTGAGATGAAACTTCACCCACTCATATACATTCTTTGCAACCTTGCAGAGTCATCTAATCACCATGATTTCAGCTTGTTCTCTTCAGATTCCGTGAAAACATCAATCCCCATGGGTGAAAAGCAAACGATTAACTCACAAAGCCACCCAGCTGGCTGTTAAACTAGAATTTGTGTCTCTTCATTTGTTTTCGGCTCATTTGCTATTCCTTACTTCCACAATATACAAAGTTTCCTGCTGCTGTGACAGGTGCAACTCTGCTTTAAGATTTTACAAACTTGCTACCCTGGCTTCTGGAGAAAATGAAATAAGGGTGAAGAAACAGAGAGAACACAAGGATCTCTTACCTGTTGCTTGTTGTTAGGTGTGTATGGCAGCATGGTAGAAACATGGAACATAATTTCATAGTCTTTGTATGTTGTGTACAGAGAATGGGTTCCAGTGGAGTCAGCTACAGTGAAAAACAAACAAACAAAAAAGAATGATGAGATGACTATAAGAATAGAAAAAATAGTTCATTTAAGAGAAATATCTCAAAAAAGAAAAAAAAAAGATGGTTTAGGATGAAAAGATCCTAGACAAGATCTAGAATAGGTGTTCTTATCCATTTTTTTGTACTTGATTCCCTTTGGCAGTCTAGTGAGGCTAATGGACTGCTTCTCAGAATATTTATAAATGCATAAAATAAAATATATAAGGTTTCAATAGAAATCAATTATATTGAGAATTCAGTTACCAAAGTAATTTTAAAATATGATGCAATAGCATAGGATTTATGTAACAAGTTTTAGCAGTTGGTCTAATAACTATTATAAATTTGGTGTAGTGATGCCATATTTTGAGATATCTATCATGACAAACAATATGATGACAAGACCTTTCTTTTGGCAATAAAAATCCCAGGTAGAGCTTTACTAACTACTGTGGTTTGTTGCCTACATTTATAATCGAAGGAAATGCTAAATTTCAGCTAGGGGTTGTGGACCCTGAGAAAAAATATACTTGTCAAGAAGGATTCATAATGGCTAGTTGGGCTCACATTTAAAAACAGAGCCTAACAGCTTTCTAAACTGAAGCCTCTCATGTAAGCCATGCTCAGGGAGAAGCCTGTATCGAACTGCCTGCCTGCACTGTATTCCTGCCATCTAGCCAACCCTTACAAAGGAGTTCCTGGAATCATATTTCAACCAACAGAACGGAGACTTTCCTTGTCCAATCAGAGCTCCATAGTTATATCCTCATTAACATCTTCCCTGACCTATTAGGACAGTGCTTTTTGGACAAGTCAAACTGTGAAGATTTGGAGCCTTCATTTGCATGAGGATGGACCACTTAGGGACCACAACATTGGATGCTTTATTCTTTAGGCATCCAATGTAAGTCAGCTCCCCTCTGGTTCAGAGAGTGCACTTCCCTTTCCACAGAAGACTGCATTTTTCCAGCTGGAGCTGAAACACCAAAGACAAAACACTGAAAACATTTCAAGGAACTGGGATGGAGAAGAGCAGGCAGAGCAGGACACTGCAGACCAGCACAGAGTCAAGTGGTGCAGAGCAGGCAAAGCAGAGCTATGTAGTTGGAGAGGGACCTTGCCCCAGAACTGCCTCAACCCAAGGCCACCTCTCAGCCATACTATTCCACAGCCATGCTGCTTCATGACTGCATTGGCACCATGGTCCCCATGACCATCAATCAACCGGGTCAATAAAAATAAATGTAAAATTCTTTTCTATTCAAGTTCACAAATTCCTGAATTCTTTCCATAGACATCAAGTTAAGAACATCTTTTCCAATACTTCTGATTCAATCAAGAGAACTATTTTGTTCTTAATAAATAGATGGAAATTCAACAAGAATGTAATACTGAACAACAAAGGTATTATAGCCATGCCCACCAATTTTTTTAAGACTAAGTGCATCCTGCTCTCATCTTCCTTACAAAAAAAGAACAATCTTTACCCCCTTAATCATTAACATATCAATCAGTGTGCCCCTAAATACCTGGAAACCACAGAAGAGAATTATTAACTGCTCAACTGAAAGGAAGTGTCTTTAGATTTGAAGGACTTATACTACAAGGCTGCTAAATGAACAGAAGTGCATTCATTCTGGGTCAACTCAAGCCTATCTCAACCACATTTTTGAGGACCAGAAGACTTCACTGAATTTTAAAGAATGATGCTGCAAGACAAAGCCTCTGGCATAAACCAGAAGGCAGTCAAGATCTCAAAATTTAGTATGCACAGAGTCTCCTGGGAGCCAGTTTAAAAGGCCAATTCCCACGCCTCACCCCCAGAAACACTGCTCACTGGGTGTGCGGCTGGGTGGAGAAATCTATTTTAATAAACACCCCCAGAGTAACTGGAATGCAGCAGCTCCACTGCCCTCAGGCGCTGCTCCAAGAATAGACCACAGGGGCAACTTGCAGACAGACTTGTAAAGGAGTTCTAGAGCCCTGAGTTTCAACCTTGAGTGTCTTGGAGGATCTTAATTTTGAAGCGGACACAAAATGCGAGAGGTTTTAAAAATAAGCTAAAAGAAGAATAAAGACTACTTTCCAAAAATTGCAAAAATACATACTAACATATAACTCTCCAAGAAAAATATCTTCTAAATGTTAATGACTATTACTAGAAAAAAACTAGATTCAAGCAAGAGAATAAATTACTACAATGCATAATTGAACTACTCAAAGACAGGTCTTGAGCCTGAAGAACTTATCTATTGCTAAGGTCCTTGCTATAAATATCTCTAGAACAAATTAACACATTTTAAAACTTTAAAAGTGAATATGTCCGCTTTGATGTGTACTTACATGCATTTCAAGTCAATTTTAAGCAAAATTAATGAACTAGAAAAAAAATGTGTCATCTAGTATTCATTTATTACATTTTGCTTTATATGTCTGTCTAATTTTAAAAGGATTAATGCCAGAAAGGAAAACTGAAGACAACCCAGAAGATCATCTGTTTTTCTACGTCTAGTCCTTTCTCCGTTTCCTCTGTATGCCTCATTTTTTATAATGTCTGCTGCTTGGCCAGCCTTTTTCTGGGGACCTTAGAAAACCCCAGTTTTAATGATGATTTTAAACAGTTTGGAAACAGTTTCAAACATTGTAAAGATGAAGTTAGGGCCAAAAGAATGAAATTTTCCTGTCTGAGAAGAGAGAAATTTCCAAATCTGAAATTATTATGTACATGACAGAGAGAATGGAAAATAAAAGTTTGCTCTATTCACTAAAGAATAAGGCATGCAATGTTGTATTATATTTTTAATGAGCTCAAAACCCCGAAACCATGAAAGATTTAACAGAATGACAATTAGAAAAATGACAAAAACCCTTTTATTCTCTGGTTGGAGAGTATATTGAATAACTTCTAAAGGGAAAATACATTTGCAGAAGAACAATGAAAAGAAGACAATGACCCTTCATATTTGTATAGAGTTTTAAAAGTTAGAAGTAAGTTCTAGCATCATATTGGTCATCTTGATAATCACGTGATTTGCCTCCAAATCATCCTACGAGTGGCATGTGTCCACTAAGAAGGTGAGCACCCTACGCTAAGCCACAGAAAGCAAAATTTCTAATATTCAAACTAGATGATAAGAAGACATTGAATAATTGAGGAATGCTAAGAATATTCTTCTTAGCTGCTTTGAAAAGGTAGAGATAGTGATAATATCCTACATTAGGCATTTCTATCAGAGGACGGTATGAACAGGTTAATAAGTTCCTAGAGCAGTTTCAGATATGGTCAATGTCATATTCATCCTTGACTTCTCTTTTGACTCAACTCTTATGCATTTAGTTAATCTAAAACTTGGATGATAAAGCTGTACATGCATGAATCTGAATCAGGAAAAGCTAATTAGAGTGTTATCTAACCATTTTCTGGTCACTAATAGACATGTTAGAGTTAAGAAAAGCTAAATGAAGGAAAACAAGTCCATGCAATTGAGTTTTGGAAAGTTATTAGTTTTAAAGATTTATAAAAACAAGGAGAAGAGTAATCCCATTAAGTAAATGCATAGACTAATAAAGCTGATAGAATGAAGAAAGCTTAAGCTTAGTTTATTAATGCCCTCACTACTACAGAACACATCAACTGCAAGACAAAATCACTGACAGGCTGTGGGCCTGACGCTTATCCACAATCTGAAATATTATGAAAGGTCACTGGCTGCTGGGTGCCACCCACAGAAGAGCCTCAGAGCTGTTTTCTATGCAACCTTGCCTCAGGGTCTGGGGATACAGAGCCAGTGCTCAGAAACGCAGCCAGGGACTAGCACTGACCTCTGGAACACTGGCATGTGTTTGTGCTGAGGCACACTTCTGCCCTGTGGTACCATTTCTCTTACTCACTAATGAAGGATTTGGGGAAGTCAAGAATTCCACCTGCTCTGGCATCTACCATATGTACTAGTACTTCTTCAGTGTACCGTTAGCCATGATCAATCAGGAGATGAGTTACCTTACTTCAATGAGGATGGAGTCAAGAAGAGGATGTACTACCCTTGACAGGCAAATTCATACTGTGTCCATTCAAGGAATGTATGCGTGTGCAGGTGAATGAGCCTGGGACTCCAGGTTTCTCAAAATTGTTAACATATTGAGATGAGAGGGTAAGAGAACATAAGGCTGGTACTTAGGAATCAGTCACTTCTATTTTCTACCTACTGCTCATTTTGCAAGATACCTGCAATTACCTGGATTCCCAACTGTTAAGTATGAAGATCTGAATTTGAATGCCAGTAGCATCATCTGCTAAATTACCACACAAATGAGTCTTCACTTCAATGCTCCTCTATAATCTCACTAGAGGCCCGGTGCACAAAATTTGTGCAAGGGACGGGGGGGGAGGGGTTACCTCAGCCCGCCTGCGCCCTCTCCAATCCAGGATCCCTCTCGCAATCTGGGACCGCTGGCTCCTAACCGCTCGCCTGCCTGCCGGCCTGATCGCCCCTAACCACCTCTGCCTGCCGGCCTGATCGCCCTCTAACTGTTCCCCTGCTGGCCTGATTGCCCCTAACTGCTCCCCTGCCAGCCTCATCGCCCTTAACTGCCCACCCCTGCCAGCCTCATCGCCCCTAACTGCTCCCCGCTGCCGGCCTCATCGCCCCTAACCATCTCTGCCTCAGCGCCTGCCACCGTGGCTTTGTCCGGAAGGATGTCCGGAAGATGTCTGGTCTAATTAGCATATTACCCTTTTATTAGTATAGATTGTTCTGAGGATTAAGTGAAATAATGTATATGAAAGTGCTAGTGCATAAAAGATGTTCAAGAAATGTGTTGATTAGAATTTAGAATTTTGTGCAGTTGAGATAAAAAGCATAGTTTCCTTAAATAGGGCCTTTTACATATTTTAATTTATATGCCAAGTGCATCTCAGCAACACTTGAAAGAAAAAAACGTACACTATAATAGAATTCACAGTTAAGGAGGTGAAAACAGAATCCTTTCTTCATCAGTCTCTGGGACTCCAAAGAGCCCTATGCATGTGCAAAGTTTTTGAAGATGCTAGTTTTATCCTTTTCCCTATCAAAGTTTAAATATTCCAGATAAAGAAGATTTACTTCCTTTATGAAAAGTCTAACATGTCTTCTAAGACCCTAGATCTCAATGGTTTTTACAACAAACACTGCTCAAAATGGGAGAAGCAACAAGCACTCACTAATACTGCAGCAAAGTAATGAAAGCTTTGAAGGAATGATTAACAAACGCTTCTGTCTCTAAGTGCTGACTTGACAAACAAGCCTCAGGCAGAAAAGAATTTCTTAAATAATAATCCATACGTACAGCTTAACATGAGGGTGGTCTCCACATTTCAAATAACAAACTGCTGCGGGTGGGGAGAGTTTATTTTTTATTTACTACAGTGTGACAGGAGTGTAAGTATCTAGAGGTATGTCATCCAAGTAAGGAAACAATGAACCAAAAAATCCACTGCTGCAAATTTCTTCATTATAGAACCCTGACACATTTGTAACTTATTTGCTAGAAATCCTTATTTCTGAGATGTGAAAATGGACTTTGTACAAAAATTGGGAAAAAGAAGAAATGGTTCGATAATTCCTTCCCTGAGCTTCTCCCTCCTTTACCGAAGTACTAAAATCTGAATATAACTATTACATGATGAGTAGGGCTGTCTCCTGGGATGGCTTGGGTGTTTTTAGTACAAGGGCTGAGAGAGGGGAAGACACAGCCACAAGGCAGAGCTCTGGACTTCAGTGGGCTTAATTCTACATTCATGCTTTCTCCGAATACTTCATTAACTAGGCCCTAGGATCTGTTCATTTTCCCCTAATGCTTCCTAGCTGTCTAACCTTAGACATGTTATTTAATCTAAAAGAAAATTCTGTCCCTGGCCAGTTTGGCTCAGTGGATAAGAACTTCGGACTGCATACCAAGGGGTCGCAGGTTCGATTCCAGTCAGGGGCATGTGTGCGGGAGGCAACCAATCGATTTGTCTCTCTCACACCAATGTTTCTCTCTCTCTGTCTCTCCCCTTTCCATTATACTCTTTCTGGAAATCAATGGGAAATTATGCTTGGGTGAGGATTGAAAAAAAGGAAACCAATTCTGTAAAATGGAGCTAACTGATACCTAGCAGGGTTTGTGGAGATTACATGAGATGGCATCTATAAAAAGTATCTGGGACTTCCCTTTCTGTCCATAACAGTACTGAGTACAGAAGTTGCTCTCCCATTATAAGTAGAAAAGTTGACAATATATCTGTAGCAATTTTTCAGACATTTTACAATAGGTAGCATTAGATAGTGATCCCTGAGAAAAAGAATAAAAGGTGAGCCTTACGATTTTACCTGGCTTTCTACCTGGAGGCACTTTTGGAACAAAGGCAGAGCAGAGCTTGGAGGAGGGAAGCCAAAATAGACTGGTATTTAGGAAGCCTGTGGTAGCTGATATTTGCTGATTATAGTACCAAACAGGAGGAAACTACCCAGTGAAAGAGGTTCAGAATCTGCATAGGGGTTCCCCAAAATGCAGGCTGAATATTAAATTGCATACACATAGAGTGAGATTCCAAAGCAATGGGAAGAAAAACTATTAGTGAAATAACCTCTATCAAAGAATTGTAAGTCAAACACTTCTCACAGTTCACATGGCGATAACCAGCCAGAGTAGAGGTACTTCACTGAATATGCAGGTATTCATGGCCTTACTACTATTACTAGTAGGGCCAAATTAGTCAGAGAGTAAAGGCTGCTCTAGGTATGCTTCAATAAAACTTAAGAATAAGATTCATGTAGATCAGGCTATTCTGTAAGTAATTCAACTGCCTACCCAAAACAACTCAACACTCTTTAAAGACAACAAAATTCATACAGTCAACAATGAAACACTCATAATGTTCACTAGGCAATCAAAAATAACCAGATGTGTGAAGCAGAAAAATGTAATTCAAAAGCAGGAGAAAATCCCAAATGACAGGGCTGATGGAATTAGCACACAAGACTTTAAAAACAGCCATTATAAATACGTTCAAGGATTTAAAGGACAATATGAACCTAATGAGGAAAAATGCAAAGTATAAGAAAAGACAATCAAATGCAACTTCTGCCCCTGAAAACTATAACATCTGAAATGAAAATTTCACTGAATTGGATTAACAACAAATTAAGACACTGTGGAATAAAAGAAAAACATAGTGAACTTGAATACATATTAATAGTAATTATCCAAACAAAAGCATAGAGAAAAACTGGTTAAAAAATTAAATCAACAGGGTCTCATTCCCCATCAGTACACTAGTTAAGTGATCTAATGTACGTGTAATTGGAGAGTCAGAAGGAAAGGGGTGAGGGGGCAGAAAAAAACAGAGACATAAAGATTGACAAATAATATTTGAATCTGATGAAAGCTACAAATCTACAGATCCAACTAACCTCTAGACTGTTGCATGTAGATGGCGTAATCCTTTAGAAATGCTTGCTCTGGAAAGCATGTTCTTTTTTAAGGATTACATTGGGGGGAAAAAGTTAGATAAAATGTGGTTACTATAGACTGCAATACAGATGTGCTAATCCAAAGACCTCCTCAAAGAAGAAGGTCACAGATGTCTAAAAAAGTTAGATAAAATATTATCTCACAGCACACAGTGAAGTCTCATCTCATCTCTGGGTGTGTCAGGGCCAGTAAGAGGCTGCTGGGGTGTGCAGAGGCTGGTTTTTCCCCCTTTCTGTGGTCTGTTATTGTTTAACTAGAGGCCCGGTACACGAATTCATGCATGGGTGGGGTACCTCAGTCTCGCCTGTGATTGGGGCCAATTGGGACCAGCCGGCCAGGGGGAGGGACCGCAGATGGTTGGCCGGCCATGGGAGGTTGGCTGTGGAAGCACACTGACCACCAGGGGGAAGCTCGTGCGTTGAGCGTCTGCCCCCTGGTGGTCAGTATTCGTCACAGCTACCGGCTGGTCGTCCGGTCCTAACGGTTGCTTAGGCTTTTATATATATAGATAGATAGATACCTGTTTAAATGATGAGACTAATGGTCCCCTTTGACACTTGGAGTAAGAGAGATAAATATGCATATTGCCTTCTTCAGGGCTTTAGAATAAAAACACTTTCCTACTTTTCATTAACTTTAGGAAACTTGCCACTCTGAAAGAACAGAAAACTATGGACTCTTCTGCTCCAAAGCTATGCTTCGAAAGGTTACAATGAGCCTTAAAGGAGAGTAGCTTAGTGGAAGGGAACCTTTCCCTGCTGAATGTATTACATAAAAACTGGGCAGTCAGAGGCAGTTTGCTAATTTAGGCTCAACCCCTCTAGCCTTTAAAGTCATTGGGATACTGGAGCAAAACATGTAGAGTGATTATTTTGCTTATTCCACTGCCTTACCTGATGCTATAATGCTTAAGTATGGCCTTTCTATACATTTCTAACATTGTCCTTCATCATCTAAAGGCAGCTGGGAATGTGTAAATACACAAATAATACATAATCTTATCTACTCCCACTCTGGCCATTCATTTATAGAATCAGAGTGCTTATTACATTCTCTTCCTAGACCCTTTCAATAGCTCTTTATGGTGATAATTTATATAACACCACAAACTGGGACAACATGAATGAATTGTACAGAGTAAATGTCAGAATATCTGGATAAAATGAGTTTAGGGCATATTGAGATTTAACATTTTGTGCAGTTGCAAGCAGAGTATGGAACATTAAAATAATATTTAAGAGTCTAGGCTATTTATGGGTTTTAATAGTCTCTCTTGCATGTCGTTTCCAAGTTGGCAACAGCAAAACCATGGCAACAGGAAATTCTTCCCTGCAGTAGTTTATGAATGCTTTTCTGTTTTCATGACTCAACTCCTTATTTAATTTCCTGTACAGAAAATCAGAGAGATTACTATAGACTGCAATACAGATGTGCTAATCCAAAGACCTCCTCAAAGAAGAAGGTCACAGATGTCTATGGATGGATTTAGAGATAAAATGTAAAACTGCCTCCATGCAGACACATAGCAGTAGTCGACATACTCTAACCAAAATAGATACTTGAGAACTTAACTATTTTATTAACAACTTGGGAAAGGAGAGTGGACAACCTTGCATGTTCATGAGCTGTAAATAAACAGACTGCTTCATTATTGTGCGCTTAACCAACACATTTTATGAGCCAAATTAATACTAAATCTAAGAAGCCTATTTCCTTAGAGATTAAATTAGACTATGGACAATAATAACAGAAAATAAGCACCTAAAACCTTCCGAGATATTAAAAGACTACAAAATGAATAAGAAAAAACATGCAAAGGTTGGTTCAAAGATAAGCATGAGGATTATTAAATGAATTAATGGAAGTTAGAAATTCTAGGGCTTATGACCAGATGATTATAAGTTTGTAGAGTTTTTCATCACATTGACATTCAGCTAAACATAGTGAAATGTACGTCACACTTTCCAGGAGCAAATCTGCATCCACTGCTCCATTCCATCCACATCTCTGAGAACACTTTTTATACCGTCTCACCCTAGCTGCTTTGATTATGGTCCGCACTGTTCTGGAGCCACAGACCTCCCTCTCGGGCTTCCTCTCCTCCATCACCAGCAGCTTCCTACAGTAAGTGGCAATGTTGTTTTATGGGCAATTTAGCAGGTGAACATCAACACAGCAGGAGGAAAACAAACCTAGTAGGAGGGTACACGTATTTCTTACTTTTGGTGTCAAGCTGTGCACGATACTTCTCAAATCCTTTGAGCCGAACGCGTTCTCCCAACAGCTGAAGGAATTCCTCAAAGGCCGGGCCGGCTGATTCATTGTTGTACATCTCTTCCTCTGTGCTCTGTCCAGCTTTGCAGTACATGATGCCGACTTTCTGCTGATAGTTAAGCTGTGAAGGCAGGCAACACAATGCATATAAGCAGAGGCAAACCACTTTGGCCCTCTTACGTGCTAATAAGTCCTGTAGAGCAAAGGCCCATTGAGTAGCTAACGGCTCTACCCTCTTGAAATCATTCTGTGTTAATTCTTCTGTCTTTGATACAAACAGTACAGTAGAGCAAGCGTCTGTAATTATAATCTTCATTAATTTAGAGGAAAGGCCAAAAAAATAACATCTCCTGTTATTAACAATGTGAAGATCATGCATCATTAGAACAGATGTTGATACTCTCGGGAATTTCGGTTAATGGATTACAAAGTACAGAATAAGGCTATAAAAAACAGCTGACAACAAAAGGCAGTTCTTTTGCAATGTTTCCCTCTCTCCCCTTTTAAAAGGGGAGGCTTTTAAAAATTTAAAAGCAGAAGCTCACTTTACAAAAGAGACTTTAAAAATAAATTGTTTTGCCCTAAGGGGCCCACTAATGTTCTTGGCAAAAAATTTTTTTGGTAAAATTGGAAGAGACATCTTCTAATGCCATTTTTCCAATATACTAAATTATAAGCCTGTTATATCTTTGTTAGAGTGCTAACATCATTAACAATGCCCCTTTCAAATATTTTTCTAAAAGATGAGGCCTGGAAAGAAACTGGGAAGGGGCTTCACAATGGCAAATCGGCAAAGGGGCAAACATTTCTTCTTAGACACAGTTATAACCAAGCATTCAGGAGGCTTAAGTAGAACTTATTCATCACTGAAAAATCTAATCATTTTGCAAACGAATTTCAAGGTGATATTAGCCATTTAACAAGAAACGAGTTTTCAATATAAAAATGTAGAGTTTTAACTCTCCGTTGAAATCAGGGCAATCTGTATCACGTAGGCCTATTTCCAGAGTGGTGCTGCAATCCCTGCTTCAGTCCATTTTTATCTACTAAAAGAAAAGGGGGAAGGGGCGAGGCAAATTTTTATAACTAACATTTAATGAATACTCATTATATGCCAACCACTATGTTCCGTGTTTACCATTAGCTGATCCTTACAGCAATCCATAAAGCAAACACTACCCCTCCTTGACAGATAAGCCAAGAGAATGGAAGAGAAAGTAATTGGCCCAGGAGGGAGAGTCACAGATCACAGCTGTCAGTCCTGTGACTTGGCTCCATTAAACATGACCAGGACTCACCAGGCTTGTCCTGCTCCATTTCTATCACTGCAACATATGTCCACAGCCCCTTACTTGCAAGTCAAAAGTGGAAAGATAAAAACAAACACATTTGGCAGCAAAACTTGGTTTGAGCTGATGTTAGTACTTTTAACTTATTCTTCTTTGTGTGACTATTTGTTCCTTTCCTATAGAAATATTAATGTGTTTGACTGTGGGGTGCTGTCCCAGATTCCACTGGGGACATTACTATACAGTGCGTGCATTTTACTACCCTGCTAAAATCTGGACATTTCTGGATTCTGAAACATATCCAGCTCTTATCGCTTTACACAAGGGACTCTGAACCTGAACAACTCCTTTCAACCTTCTAAACCAAATGTTTCAGAAGAGTGATAACACAGAAAATGTCATGGGAGAAGCTCTTTCTTGCTTCCCCCCTCCACTGCATGCTACCTAGATGACAGGAAGTTCTGCGGCTTTACATGACCTGGGGACAGGAGGGCCCCCCTGAAGTTCTGTACAGAACTGACCGGACTCTGCCTACTCCAGGGCGTGGGAGGTGAAGTTCCAAGTCTGAAACGTGCAAATGTACTAGAATATTTTAAAAATAGCATATAACTTCCATTATTGTGGCTTCATTGTAATCATTAACAGAAAGAGATTTAGGACTTTCTCATTTTGTATACCACATGTTGGAAAAACCAAACAAAAGAAGTCAGAGTAAAACCTACTGCACACCACTGACATTTCCGCCTTATCTCAGCCGGCCTGCTTCAAATGTCTGACTGTAGCCAATGCTTAGAGGGGAACTCCCACAGGTAGAGATTTCATCTTGGCTGGGGAACTAAGCTGAGTACCCTATCAGGTCTCAGCAAATAACAAAGTAGTGGTAAGCTCTGCGTCTATTATAGAAGAAGTCCCTAATAAAGCCAGATCCTTACTCTCTCCCACAGGAGAACCATCAGAGATGAAGCGATTCAGAGAAAGGAAGCGGCGTTGGGTTATGTGCCGTTTGGCTCAGTGCCTGCCCGGTCAGCCTTCTCGTGCAACAACGTAAGACAAAAGTCACCCTGTTCCATAGAAAGTGTCGGTGATATTGGATTTGTGGGATGGCTTTTTAAAACTTCTTAGATAAAGCCTAAGATTTCACTGTGCAACACTCAAAAGGATTCATTTATAAAAAAAAGAAAAAGAGAGAGAAAGAGGGGGAGAAAAGAGTTCAGAGGAACACAGATAAGTAAGCGAACTTCCCTCAAATCACTGGCGAAGAAGAATCTATGACTATGTGCTGTTTTATTAGGTCTGATTCTCATAGTCCCCAGAACTCCACCTGCAGACAGGAGAACAAACTGGTTTGTGCTGGTTGTGAAAGGAAGGATCCTCTAAGGGGATTAAGAAATTGGTTAGAATGTCAAATTTCCTCTGGTTTGAAACTGTGCCAATTGCTCTATCCTCTAAGGTGACAATATGACTGTATCCCGAGTTTCTGCTGCAATTAAATCAAGGTGGGTGGCATTCTCTGAACCTGCGCTCCTAGAATCCTCAGTTAGCAGCCATGTCCCTGCCAGAATCTGAGAAGTTGTTAAGGAGAAGTTATGTAAATGTAATACGGAACATTTCAAGAGAAAGAGCAAATGCAAATGGAGTCAGAGCTGTCCTTTGGGGGTTTTGAATTGTTATGAGTTATATAAAACAGCATTTTTTTGGAGGCACACATCTGTATAGGTTCATGTATGTCAATATATAATCCTTTCATGCAATGCTCAAAATAGAGCTGCGAAGGCCCCAGAAGCCACCTTGGGAACGGGCTGGGGCTCTCTGCACTGGGGCTTTGCTCTGGATAATCTCAGGGTCATGCTATACAATTCCGTGCTTGCGTACCAACTGCTCGCAGGGAGCACTGATGGAAGTGTCTGGACACAACAAATGTTTGTATTGTAAAAAGGGATGATATTTTTGTTATGGGCAAGATTATTCTGAAATTTATATGGAAAGGCAAAGGAACTAGAATGGCTAAAACAATTTTGAAAAAGAATAAAGTGGGGAAAAATTATTCTTCCCAATTTCAGGACTCAGGTTATGTCTGAGATGAAGGTGAACCTCAAACAAAATAAGTGTTTTTCAACACCCATCAAATGATGTGGACTCCCCCAGCTGGGAACAAACACAACACAGCGCGGCTCTGCCTCTCATAAAAAAGGCACTTCAACACCAAACCAAAGAAACAGGAGCTGCAATCTGACTTACCCCGCCCTGAGCTCCTGGAAGGCTGGGGGGAAGTCAAGTTGGAGCCCCTCCAGGTGGAAACAGACGAGAATAACCAGGTTCTCAGAGATCGCCCAGCAGTGCCTCCTCATCTCTTCATCCCTGGTGTCCCAGCCAAAGGCAGGCCACCGGGCGGCACAGAGCATGAGAGCAAACCAGTTCTTACTGTTCTTACAAACCCAATTGCCTGATTTAATCTAGGAATTCAAACGCTCACTATGAAGTACGTTCCTGTACAGCAGCTCTCACCCTTGAGGGTGCCTGAGCTGTGCTCTGGGGTATGGTTATTGGGAAATAGTTTGATCCTTACAGCTCGTGCTGTTAGGTTGTGCCAGAGCAGAGTTTAATTTGAGGATAATTTGGCCCCACTATTGCAGCAAAACCATTCTGAGACTTTGTCGTGAATGGAGGTTTTCCCGTCTGCCTGGTGGGAGCAGAAACTGTTCCCAACCACGTGGGAGGACTGACGACTCGCCCTTCTCCACCATTAGGGGGATTCTCACTCTGGCCTCATGCAGTTTCCTCAAATGCATGCGCTTTTCAATACTCAGCTCTGTGAACCCCGAACCCGAGCCTCCTTGGCCTCACATCTCAGTCTCACCTCTGGGAGACCCCTGGGCTTCAGCTGGGTCCCCACCCACCCCCACCCCCTGTGAGCACCGCAGCCTGGACACTCCCTTCAGACTGGCGCAAGCTTAGGGTCTACTTCCTCTTTTCCCACCTCCCAGAGATCACTGCCCTTCATTGCCTGAGGCACAGTGCCATAAAAATCACTGTTTCATTGTTCTGCCTCATTTTTAAGTTGTTTCAGATGGGAGCATAGATCTAGTCCCTCTTTCTTAATCTTGGCCAAAAGTAGAAATCTGCCTTCAGTTTTGTGTATGTGTGTTTTTAATATTTTTATTGATTTCAGAGCAGAAGGGAGAGGGAGAGATGGAAACATCAATGATAAGAGAGAATCATTGATTGGCTGCCTCCTGCACACCCCACACTGGGGATCAAGCCCACAACCCCGGCATGTGCCCTTGACCAGAATTGAGCCCAGGACCCTTTAATTCACAGGCCAAAGTTCTACTCATTGAGCCAAACTGGCAAGGGCTACCTTCAGTTTTTAAATCGACATTATCTACACTAATAAAAGAGAAACATGGTAATTAGCCGAACCTCCACTACCCTTCCCATTGGCTAATCAGGGCGATATGCAAATTAACTGCCAGCCAAGATGGCGGCCGGCAGCCCGGCAGCTTGAAGCAAACATGAGGCTTGCTTGCTTCAGTGACAGAGGACTCCAACGTTCCCCACCTGCTGCTGCCGGCCTCTGAGCTTGCAGTCTGAAACACTGTTACAAATATAGAAGTTAAACAAAACCCCAGAAACCTGCTTTCAGCCAGCTGGGATCTCAGAGCTGGAGTTAAAACAGTGTTTCGATTATAGAACCCAAACAAACCAGATACCTGCTTTCAGCAGCTGAGGCCTAAGAGCTGGAGCCAAGCCTCAGAGCTAAAGCTGGCCCAGAATAAAAAAAAAAGAAAAAAAGGAGCGGTTGGGAGCTTCAGTCACCCGCCAGCCTGAAAAC